ACGCAAAATGCCGCGATTTTATATGAAATAAACAAATTAGGGCTATTAACGCAGCATCTCTTCTTTTTTGTCATCCTTTGACTAGTGTTACATGATCCCGCTCTTCGTGCAAATGCCTTAAGTTAAAACTATTTTGCACGACAAGAAGTCAAAAGAGAGCGCGCTGCCTGTGAATGTCCTGAATATGACTCACAGAAAAAAGGCGCGCCAGTATAATGCGCATGCACAGACCGGGTGCCAGAATACAGTTCTCTTTCGAGCTTGAACGAACAATAACACACACAATTATGCCAAAATGTCGTTTTGTCGATTATCTTCTTAACATAAGAGCAGTCTTATGATGGACGAAAAGAGTTGTGCTTGTGAGAGAATGAGGCGCGTGAGAGATCCGCGTCTCGGCAACGGCTGCTCTTAAAGGGCCAGCAGCGAATAAAGCGTTCCGTCAGTAAAGTTAATCAAAGAACAAAGAGAACAGAAAATTACTCACTGCTCTTGACTAAAGAAGTTTTGTAGCTTTAATAAGGATTAGTCTATATAAAATTTATAATTCATGCAGCGAAGACTGTTTGATAACTTTATTCAATTTCTGTATATAAATCTGTATATAAATCCTCAATCCTACCTGTTAAGCAGAGCCGGCCCGAGCCTTTTGGGGGCCCTAAGCAGAATTTGATTTGGGGGCCCCCTCCCACTACGCGGAGTCACTGCTTGACGATTATTGACACAAATATCACGCAATAATGATACATTATAAATTAATACAGTGAGGTTATGTAGCCTATTAATACAAAATAAATACTTAATAAAAAATAGATAGCCTATACTTAAATAAAAAAGTTTTAACTTTTACTTTACTCTTTTACTAACTCTTTGAAACTTCTTAAAACAAACTGTCTCAAAACATATCAAATAATTTATTTGCTAAAATAATGACAAAACTGAGAATTCAACATAATAAGAGGGTTCAACAATGACAATTATTGTTGAAAACTGTAAAAATATTATTATTTCTCAACTGTCTCAATACATTGTAAGTTTTTTTATTATTATTATTGTAACAGACTTGGTTGGATTGTACATGACTGAATCCAACAAAGTCTGTTACTATAATACCGGTAATGATGTACTGGCGCTCGTTGTATGTGCGTATGCAATGTATTTTTTCCCTCGGGGCTTGCCGTAGATAGGAATGGTCTGCACAAAACATACCGTAAATAATCATGCAAATATAGTTTTATCTTGCTCTTTTTTTCTCCTCCTCTGGCCTGGCCTTTTCTTCTTTCTATTTTCTGCACCAGATGGATACGTCCTTTTTTGTTACATGGCTTAACATTACCGTGACTGCGCAGTTGCGCACGAATTGTCTATGCACGCGCGAGGTGTCTAGATTATGCGCATGACTTAAACGCTGGCAGACGCAGCAGCAGTTGTAGGCAGGTAATATTGATCATGTAATCAGAATTCTCTTGTCTCGAAATATTCATTCATTCATTCATATTCATTCATTCATTCATATTCATTCATTCATTTTTGTCACTTGTTTAAGTCATCTAACAAAATATTTTTCGGTTTTTCGACTCGATTGGGGGTCCCCTGGTGGCCAGGGGGCCCCAAGCAGCCGCTTAGTTCGCTTATGCCTCGGGCCGGCCCTGCTGTTAAAGACAGGAAGGGCACAGGTAAATATGGCATTTATTATGGGTTTATGTGAGGATTGTTTGAAGTTCACTTAATTTAAAAGCTGTTAATTTTTTTAAGCCTAATAAATATTTTAAAAGTTGATAGCTTTCAATTGTATTGATGGAATCACTGTAATGTTGGATGGCTATAATTAACGTTTAAAATGTGGGGGGTGTCGTCATTTTTATCCAGACATCAATGGTTTATTTATCATTATAGGTGTTATCAATCATTTAGTTGTTGTTGCTAGTTTGAGTTGAGAAATACACATTAATACACAGAATGATCACTAATCTGTGTGTGCATTTTACTTTAGAACCAAGCAAGTTGACTCATGAAACCATTTGTTTATTATATCGCAATCACATATCGCAATCGCAATATTGACCTCATTAATCGCAATATGACATTTTCCTCAAATCGTGCAGCCCTAATTTGTTTTAAAGAATTTGTGGAATAATCATTTCTCAGGTAAGCTGAGTGCCCATTAGCAAAGATGGCAGATTTCCGATCTCCTGCTGTCCTGTGCCAGGCATTGAGTTGAGTGTGAAGGCTAGTTTTCTTCCTATATTATAGACCTCCTTTGTCACAATGAGTGCAATTAGCCTTGTGTTTCCAGGTCTGAATATCGACCCGTCTGAGCTACTGCTGTTGCAAGCACACTGTCTTTGACTCTTCCTTCTCTTGATGTCAGAAGATCAAGGAGTTTCCAAAGAGATCCAAGTTTTGAACGAATGAATTTTCACTTCCATACAAACTAGAAAAGCCTGTTTTTTCTGCCTTTGTAGGGTTTTTATAGTAAAGGAGGAAAACTGATGTCACTCTTCAGATGCTAATGTAGACCAAAAATGGTCACAACCACTTTAATACCAATTGGGACACCTTGTTTATTCTCAAATCCGGGATGTTATACTCTTCAGTCATGGCTATACTTTATTAACCTGTTCAAAACTGCTGATCCACTTTGTCCTGTTTTCTTAGCTGTAATGTGCTGGTGATTATGTAACATATGTGGTTTTCTCTGTGGGTTCAGTTTGCCTTTCTAGATTCACATCAGCGCTTTGGGGACTGAACGTAGACAGGATTTTCTGTGAGGGGCTCCATGAGGGTTTTTTATGGTCCTGGCTGTGTGGGTAGTTATGCCTTTAGGTACAAGACTGCAATTGATTTTTAAAAGCATTACTGAAGAGAGGCCAAACAATTAGGACAGTTTGTTGTTTATAAGTTAAAGGGATCAAATAATTTATCCTAATTCTTTTTTTGCATTTAATTTTTTGCATGCAGTCCCTTTATTAGGTTAGTCAAGGTTATTTCTCCAAACAACCATTTTCCACCATCTGTCTGATCATGTTTTGTCTTTTTTTTTTGCTGCTGTGTCTTTAAGACTTCTACAAAAACAGCCTGTAAAACGAGTAGGCTAACAGTGCACCGAGTGGCATAATTTACACATGATGATATTTCAGAAGCACATATTACACACATACTCTCAGATACTTTGAACACATTTTCCCAATTTGGCCTAGAATCAGTGCATAAAATGTGCATCCTAAATCCTGTTATTTAGGCTGTTCGGCTCTTGTTTTACAATCTTTTTCTACATTTTCATTTACTCTTAACTGACTGCAAAGAACCTAGAAAAGCACATTTGTTTATTCGTTCAGGGGCCAGATGTATTATTTTAGGATATAGATCCACATAGTGAGTTTTTAAATGACCTCAATCTCGGTTCTATCCTGTAAATGGAGCTTTCAGAACATGTATTAAATCTCATTTTTAGCTTAACTGGAAGATGGTGATTGAGGCTTTATCTCTCCTTTTTTCTTAGGGTAATGGGTGAAGATTGGATTTTATTTCCTTTTTTAGCTTTAATCTGTTTGTGGGTTTGATGAGATGTTGGATCTTTTCTAATAGCATTGACATATAAGGAGGAAAACTGATGTCACTCTTCAGATGTTAATGTAGACCAAAAATGGTCACAACCACTAATACCAATTGGGACACCTTGTTTCTTTTTCTTAAACGTTTAATTTTGTGTGCGTATATGTGGACTAACGGTCAAACAAAGAGAAATAAAAGGTTTCAATATGGAAAGTGGCGTTTGCACACCTCATTGACTCCACTTTATGGCTCTGTAATGGCCTCACAGCCACTCAATGTGTTTGTTGGCTTTCCACATTTCCACTGGAATTGCGAAACCGACAGGTGCTTGCCTGCATGCATTCACTCTCTCTCTCACACTTCCTTTTATGTACTTCTTTCTCGCTCCTTTTGCCCTTCTGTCGAAATGATTTTTCACTATTTCGTCTCTCACTCTCCCTCAGTGGGGAAGGGGAGATATTCGAAGGCTTACACATTGTACAGAGAAGCACAGTATTGGTGTCAAAAACACTTTTACAGACAAACTGTCACCTTAGTGTCTCAGATGAAGGATGCTCAAACCAGCGTTTTTTGTGTCCTTGGCCCAGTTTATGTTCTTCGAATGTGTTTTTACATTTTATTTTTGATATTAGATATTGTATGTGCCTTGCATATACCTCATGAACCAATGTATGTGGAAGACCCTTTTATCTCTGTAAGTCTGGGATAGAGCACTTAGTCTTAAAATGTGGTTTATAATTGGTTTGAATACAAAAACCGCTCAAAAGTTTGGGGTCAGTAAAGTGTGCATTAAATTCATCAAAAGTGACCGTAAAGACTTTTATTTTGTTACAACAAATTTATATTTCAAATACAGTAAATGCTGTTCTGTTTAACTTTGTTCATCAAAGAGTCATGAACAAATGTATCACAGTTTGCACAAAACTATTAAGCAGCACAACCGGTTTCAGCGTCTATAATAAGCAATGTTTCTTGAGTGCCAAATCATTATTAGAATTATTTCTGAAGGATCATGTAACACTGAAGACTGGAGTAATGATGCTGAAAATTCAGCTTTGCCATCACAGGAATAATTTACATTTTAAAATATATTAAAATAGAAAACTGCTATTTTAAATTGTAATATTTCACAAGATTACTGTTTGTACTATATTATTGATCAAATAAATGAAGCCTTAGTGAGCATAAGAGACTTTTCAAAAACATTTAAAAAGCTAGTGTACATGCACAATTCCAGTTTATAGAATGCTAACTATTTTTGAATGGCCAAAGTATATATAAAGTGTCAATTTAGTAAACTTATGTTAACATGACTACATTACTATATGTAAATTAGATTTAATGTTTCATAATTTGTTTGAAACACTGAGTTAACCAGAAACTCCAACACCATTGTCAGCATTCACACTTTTATTAACATATTGTTTGTAACTCTCCATCTCCAGGCAAAAGTTGTGTCACTCAAACTTGGAATCACCCCCTATTTCACCTCAAACCCCAGCTATGTCGATCAAAGGGAAAGCGGCAAGACAGAAGGGCGTCAAAAAGGAAGCAAGCACCCTCAGTCATTTTTTCCAAAAGAAGTCCACCATGACCCCAGTCAAATCGGAACCCATGGAGATGTGCATAGAACAGCCAGGCAACATCAAACTAGAAAGTGTGGAGGAAACCGCAATGGTAAAAGAGGAGAAGATGGATATATCAGCTTTTCCTTCCACATCACAAAGCAGTAAGCCGTTGGTTAAAGGTAACTAATGCCACATATGCCATTTTATTGCATTTATCTTGTATGTTTGGTATAATCATGCATATTAGTTAAATGTTAAAAATATTGGATTTAAAAAATGTGTGTTTTTTATTCAGTCTAATACACTGTAATTTTTTTGTCTATTGTCTAAGAAAAAAAACCTGGTTGTCCCCTAATGCATTGATTGGTTTTCTTCACAATAAGTGCAATATATATATCTTTAAATTAGGGCTGTCAAATGATTAATCACGATTAATCACATCCAAAATAAAAGTTTTTTTTACATAATATATATGGGTGCACTGTGTATAATTATTTTGTATATATATAAATACACACACATGCATGTATATTTAAGAAAAAAAGATTATTTATATATAAAATATTTATATTTATATATAATATAAATTGTATATAAATCTATATACAGTATATACATGAAAATATTTCTTAAATATATACAAGCATGTGTGTGTATTTATATATATAAAATAATTATACACAGTGCACCCACATATATTATGTAAAAAAAAACTTTTATTTTGGATGTGATTAATCGTGATTAATCATTTGACAGCCCTACTTTAAATCCTTTTAATGACATCTGATCTTTTTTAGATTTAAATGGCAATGACTTTGTGTTTGTGCTTTGCCTAATTGTGCTTTTTCTAATAAGCAATAATCTTCAATCATTTGTTGCAGTGGAATGTCCTGTCTGTGAAGTGTGTGTGCCTGAACAGCACATTAATAAACATCTGGATATGTGCCTAAGCCGAGACGATAAGAAAGAGGGATTGAGAAGGTATGGAGAATATTTGCCCTCTAATGCAATAGCACTATGTGAAGTTTGATGGAGAAAATGGTCTTATCTTTCTTTGACTGCAGGACACATTTAGTGATTTTCTAGAGAATCACTAGATGCTGCTAATTGACCTGCTGTTATTCAAATTCAGAATTGTCAGTTTTTGTGCAGTAGGTCAACAAAAAACAAATGAATAATGAATAACTGACATTTCAGACATAATAGTGAAAGCTATTGTTCATTTTTGCCATCGAAAATGATTTAAATAGAATCCAATCCAGGATCAAATGTGGACAAGGGGAGTGATGCAATAAATAATGGATAAAGTTTAACAAATGAACTGATCGCTGAAAAACTTTTCTTGAATAGATAGTTCAATTTAAGATAACCTCGTTCTGTGGGGGAAAATTATGGCCACATAAAAAGTAGCTGAAGAGTAGTTGTGGTTAAAGAATTGATTCAATCCTTGTTAAATAACATTCCCTATAGATTATAGCTTGTCTCCATCCCTCCCCCTCTACTAAGCCACCCCTTTTCACCTGAGGGACATTCTGAAGGGCCGACATTTGGTGTGCATGTCTGACTGACAGAAAGAGTGATTTCATTTACTGGACACCTTGAGGGTAACGTGATGAATGAGGGTGTGTGTCAGCACTTCTGTGGCCTTAAGACCATCCTGACATACTAATACTACAGAGATTAATGAAATTTGCACCTTTTCATGCTTGGCTGTCTATATTTTTGTGTAATAGTGTTGGGTCTGATACTTATATCTAATACTTAATATTAGGTTAGGTATAAGTAATAATTCAAAATAATGTGGAACACAAAAGATATTTTGAAGAACATTGGGGTCCAAACTACATTGGACCCCACTGACTTTTATCCCCCCCAATGTTTTTTTTTTCCACAACAGAAAGTCAGTCGTACGGGTTTGGAATGAGAAAATTATTTTCATTTTTTGGTGGACTGTCCCTTTAATCGCTACAGCTATTTAATTGTACTGCCTGAAGGCTGTTGTATGCAGTATAATTGAAAATGAAGAAATGTTGCTGTGTTAGTCATATTCAACTGTATACTACTAAAAGCAATTTGATAAAAAGAAAATTATGCATCATGCCAAATAAGATACCGATAGGATAGAAAATAGCCTGAAAGAAAATGTTTCAATGTATTTCATGGACATGCCACTTGCCACTTCCTTTCATTGTAGATCTGACACATTTCCTCAAGGATGTCAGGGAAAGATAAAATAATTTATGACCCCTATAAAGATTAGAAAGACAAGTTAACAAGTAAATAGCAATACAGCCAACTACCAGAGCCATGCCATCCTGACAAACTGAGCAACCAGGCAAGGACTTTTCAGAGAATTGACCAAAGGACCAGCAAAACAATGACAGAGTTGAAGAGCTATTTGGCTGACATCAGAGAAACTGTCCTGATAGCAACAGCCTCTTCACCACTTGAGATTCACCTCTGGGACAGTGCCTAGGAGAAAGACATTTCTGAGAAAGATCGGCATTAAATCATGTTAAAGCCATGGGACAAAACCTGAAATATTTTGGTAGTAAATTTTGTGGTCTGACAAGAATTAAGTTCTTTGGCTTAAAAGCAAAGCACTATGTTTGGTGAAAAATGCAACCCGGTACCAGTTAACACCTAATCTGCCTCGGTGGCAGTGTCATGTTTGTGGGATTTCTTTTTCAGATGGCGGAACTGGAAAGTTTGTTGGCATCAAGGCCAAAATGGATTACGCCCAATGCATGCAAATCCTTGTTTCAGTCAGCCAGAGATTTGACTAAGTTACCTTCTCACACGACAGTTGAACAAACTACACATCAAAACTATAAAGTTATGGGCTTATAGTTAGTATTCTAGACACAGACTTGAATTCAATTGACAATTTGTGCTATGACCTGAACAGTCACTCTGCATCTAATTTGCATTGTTTTACATGTTATAAAAACCGATAAAAACAGCTCAAACACACACTTGAGGCACTTGAGGTGCATTTTATATTAATGTGACAAGTTGTTGCTTTTCTCGAAAACTGTTAATAATAAATAGAATTTGACTTTGAATGGTTTCTAATAAAGTTTTATTTTTTTAGGGGCCAAGCCCCAAAAGGGCTGTAGCTGTTAGTTTTCTTCACTATTCTTCTTCTTCCCGAATGGAAGTCTATGGCAGCCCTATCAACGGAACATAGGAAAATGATGAAATCTGGCACACTTGTAGTAATGGTCATGAATAGTAATCTGACCAATTTTGGAGTTTCTAAGACCAACTCTATAGCGCCACCACCAGTTAAAAAATTCACTTTTCTAAAGGTTATAACTTTTGAACCCTTTGTTCTAGAAAAATTACATTCAGTTCACCCGATTCCTCTCTTCATGCTGATCCCATTCAACATCTTACATTAAGACTCCACCCATTACAGTAGTGGCCATTTTGAAAAGTACAGTATTCAGTTTTTTTCACTGCTCCTTCTGTCACAAGTTATGACGTTGCGAACTTAAGTCGACCCAAAATTGGTTCAGAGGCTGTATCTCGGCCAAACTTTAATCAATCAATATGAACATTTTGTCCAAAATAGTCTCGGATGATCTTTGGACCGAGCCGCACAGAAATGACTGAATGGTTTTTTATATTCGCTACCATTTCCGAGACATTCGTCTCCGAATGTGACCTTGCCTGTGTTTGTTGTCTTATTGCAGTTAGCTTAGCATGCTAACCAGTTGCCATTCTTTCTAATGTGGCTCTTCAGTTATCAGGTCAACCATAAGTTACATTAGCATTAAGTTAGCTTAGCATGCTAATCTTGTTAAAATATTAAGTAATGCTTTGATGTGCTCATTCTCACACTGAAAGCTCTCCTCGGCAGCCTGGTGAATCAGCGTCAACCGAGTGGTATAACTTACTAAGCCACATGCCCCAAACCTTTCAGGTCGTGGGTTCGAATCCCATGTGGCACATGCCTAGATTGCAAGAACTACTGTGGCCAGAATTGGTGTAAAAAATGCTTTTGTTCATCTTATTGAATATAACACATTTAAATACAATATCTTCGGTCTGAGTTGATTCTCACTTGAACTAAGTAACTTTGGCATCTCTCTGAACATGCATCTTCCCAGTGGCACAATGAGTGGGTTTGAGTCCCATGTGGAACAACTTTATAAAATTGTGTGTAATGTGTCATTTAGATTCCTTTATTATCCAGGTAAGCGTTGTACTAATCTTTCTTCCTCTTAGAAATAAATGTGTTTTTGTTCATTTTAAGTTCATTCTCACCTTGGAAGCTGTTCCACAAAGAACTATAGAAAAATTTTAAAGTATTTTTAGATACTTTTTGAACTCATGGAACCTTTGAAACGGGCTTGGCCCCTTGATGGCTGCTTACTGCTACATTTTGTAATCGTCTTTGTAAATTTATTTTGACAACTGTTTTTCGTTTTCTGTATAATTTTCATTCTATTTGACACTTGTTTTTTTTTCCTCTAAAAATGACTCTGGGACTTGTGTATGCTTTTGTGTTTCAGTGGTAGAAGGCGTAAGGGGATGCCTAAGCTCTTGTACACTTTGATTGCTGTTCCAAAGCTCAAGAAGATGCTTAAAGAATGCCACCTCTCCGCTCAAGGCAGCAGAGATCAGCTCGTGCGACGCCACCAGGAATTCACCCACATCTATAATGCACAGTGTGATGCACTCAACCCCAAATCAGGTATAAAATCAGAGATCAATAACCAAATGACTGAATGAATGGTGAGACATTCCTTTATAGGCCTTGAAAAACATGGTCTAGATTCCATGTAACTGTTGTAATTTACATGTAATTCCATCAAACATGACATTGAATGACAACTATATGCTGTGGCCAAGCCTGTATTGCTGTTAAAAGAGAGTTTAGCTAGGTACAGTTTCACTCTGTCCAGCGATTGTAGGCGGTAGAATATAATTTATATGCTGGAGTTAGTCACCCTGTGGGGGACCCTGGTAGAAAGATGACAGGGCTGGTGGAAAAATACAGTAGTTTCATCCCTCATGTTTTCTTTGAGTTACTGCTTCGCTTCTCACTGACCCTTTCAGTGTGGAATTTATCTCTTTTCATTGAGCTGTCAAAGGTTTCGTTGGAAACCTTCTATTTTTCTTTTATTCACCCGGTGTTACCATGGTTTCTGTTTAAAAGCCTGACTTATTTGAGTGTGGTTTGTGTTTTTTCCCATATTACCTGGGGTTCTGTTTTGTCATAAACAATAGCAGATTGAATTGATAAATTACACTGCTCAAATTGCCTTGGATACCACCAGTTTGTGTGAAACCAGATGGTTATGTTATCAAAAATGATTTGTAAATGAGAATCCTGCTGTGCTTTAATAAATGCAAGAAAACCTAGAAGTAGATGCTGTACACTCACCGGCCACTTTATTAGGTACACCTGTCCAACTGCTCGTTAACACTTAATTTCTAAGCAGCCAATCACATGGCGGCAACTCAGTGCATTCAGGCATGTAGACATGGTCAAGACAATCTCCTGCAGTTCAAACCGAGCATCAGTATGGGGAAGAAAGTTGATTTGAGTGACTTTGAACGTGGCATGATTGTTGGTGCCAGAAGGGCTGGTCTGAGTATTTCAGAAACTGCTAATCTACTGGGCTTTTCACGCACAACCATCTCTAGGGTTTACAGAGAATGGTCCGAAAAAGAAAAAACATCCAGTGAGCGGCAGTTCTGTGGGCGGAAATGCCTTGTTGATGCCAGAGGTCAGAGGAGAATGGCCAGACTGGTTCGAGCTGATAGAAGGGCAACAGTGACTGAAATAACCACTCGTTACAACCGAGGTATGCAGCAAAGCATTTGTGAAGCCACAACACGCACAACCTTGAGGCGGATGGGCTACAACAGCAGAAGACTCCACCGGGTACCACTCATCTCCACTACAAATAGGAAAAAGAGGCTACAATTTGCAAGAGCTAACCAAAATTGAACAGTTGAAGACTGGAAAAATGTTGCCTGGTCTGATGAGTCTCGATTTCTGTTGAGACATTCAGATGTTAGAGTCAGAATTTGGCGTAAACAGAATGAGAACATGGAACCATCATGCCTTGTTACCACTGTGCAGGCTGGTGGTGGTGGTGTAATGGTGTGGGGGATGTTTTCCTGGCACACTTTAGGCCCCTTAGTGCCAATTGGGCATCGTTTAAATGCCACGGCCTACCTGAGCATTGTTTCTGACCATGTCCATCCCTTTATGGCCACCATGTACCCATCCTCTGATGGCTACTTCCACCATGTCACAAAGCTCTAATCATTTCAAATTGGTTTCTTGAACATGACAATGAGTTCACTGTACTAAAATGGCCTCCACAGTCACCAGATCTCAACCCAAAAGAGCATCTTTGGGATGTGGTGGAACGGGAGATTCGCATCATGGATGTGCAGCCGACAAATCTGCGGCAACTGTGTGATGCCATCATGTCAATATGGACCAAACTCCCTGAGGAATGCTTCCAGCACCTTGTTGAATCTATGCCACGAAGAATTGAGGCAGTTCTGAAGGCAAAAGGGGGTCCAACCCGTTACTAGCATGGGGTACCTAATAAAGTGGCCGGTGAGTGTATATGTATTAAAGGGGATCTTTTTTTGTTGTATTTGGATAGATTTATATGTTAGTCATTAAGTCTTCTTCAGAAAACGTGTTTGTAGTTAATTTGTTTGCTTTTTTGTTTGACAACAGCTGAAGAAATTGCCAGAGAAGTTGAAAACAACGAGAGGTTAAAGAATCAATTGGACCGTAACCGAAAACCTGTATGTACTACTATGGATTGTAATTTCTAAAGTGTCTATATATATATATTAGTACTGTGAAATCGATTAATCGCATCTAACATACATTTTTTTGTTTTTTAAACAACTATAGCTTTTAGATTTTTTTTTTCTTAAAATGTTTTGTGTTTGACAGGTAATCGTCACTACGAAGAATCAGACAGCTGAAGAAATTGAGGAATTACACTCAATGTACCGTAAGTCCTGACTTAAAAACTGACACTGAATAACGAATGAGACTGTTGCTCTTGTCAGTTTAGAGGATGCGCTGTCCTTGCACTGTTGGAAAATTATGTTTGAGTGATGTCACAACATGGTCAGATCCATTCTCCTTCTTGTCCTGTGCATTATAAAATAAAAATGTCTGTTTGATATATGAACAGAATAACATGGACTACTTTCCCCTATCCCAAGGTTGACTGAGAATATGCACTTTGTATTTTTGCGGCTAATTATCAGCTAAGGATCTTTGCAAATGTTTTATGCTGTGGTTCCAGCATACTATTTTTACAGTGTTTGGGCCATTCTTGATATTACATAATGTGTAAAGTGTACACTAAGTCTTTGTGATGAGGAGGCAGGCTGTCTATGTGTAGTTAAGTTCTGCCATCAAATTATTTTGGTCATAAAAAAAAATCTTTGTTTTAGTTTTAATGCAAAAATTGCAAATTTGATTAACTTATTTCACTTACATCAGCAATGGTTCGATTTTCATTTTTATTCTTTAACTGACCCAGAAAGTCAGGACTGAAAGAGAATCCTGCTATCAATGTCAAAATCATTTTCAATATAAAAATATTGTTTAATTACGGTAAAGAAGTTTTAGAATTTCTGGGGAGAAAATGGCTGTCAGATTGATGGAACAGCTACGATCATAATCATCAAATATTTATTTTCTGATTTGCTTGCTTTAATGTAATGCCACGTATCATCGGTGTGCTCTGCAAGGGCATTTGCAATTTCCGTTTCCACCTCGTATATCAGATCTTGTTGTTCAAGTGCAGTTTGGAGTCTATGCAGAGCTGTGCAGATTTCTAAACTGAAAACTTTTCAGTTTACATCTTGAATGGAGCTGCACACTTTCATTTTAAGTTTCTCTCCTGATAATTTCGATATGAATAATCTCACTTCAGTTACCCTCAGTAGTTCTCAGCCAAAATGTTTTCCAGAAACCTTTGCCTTTTGTGACTCCAAGTTCATTAAGCAGCTGAGTGTGTGTATATGAGAGAGTGAGAGGGGAAGGTAGAAAGATCCCTTGAGGAGTTGGAGAAGGTGGTGATCAATACGACAATACCAACGGGTCCCAAGATCGATCTTACCTCATTAAATGTTACAATCTGCTTTAGAGACCCATCTTAGAATGCTTACACCAAAAAAATCAGACAATGGGCTTCAAGCTTTAAAGATACTGTCCACTGTTTAATGAACTTTTGCTAAGAGGGCTTACTTTTATCCCGTCTTTAAGGGGATCATTTTGTGAATGAGTCATCATTTTAAGTCGGATCTTTTCATTCAATTGGTTGATCTGCTCCACAAAACTGATCTGAAAGATTAATTTACAATTAGGCTAAAAAACTTGTTCCAGTTGTAGAAGTTAACAGACTAATAGAGGAGATGATTATCATTGAAAAACAATGTCTGTTCCTCACACAAAGCTATCGTATGACTCCAGAAGACTTGAAACATAGAGCACAGGTCTTATTTGGACCGGTTTATGGCATTTTGGATGATATTTTTTTTTTATCTTTTTTTTGAAGCTTGAAATCCTCCATTTGTATGGGGACTAATGACAAAAGTGCCAGGTAAAAATCTTTTTTTGGGTTCCATGGAAGAAAGTACGACATACAGGTTTGTAACGAGTTGAGGGTCTGTAAATGATTCTTTTTTTGGGGGAACTATTCCTTTAATTGTTTCCGTTTATGGATGTATATCCTCACATATGTCTTCACATTTCCTAATGTTGTGCCCTCTGTTAACTTCAACTCTTAAGGTTTAGTCCCTTGTGCTCAAATGTTTCTATTTGACATGCACAGTTTGCTGCTAGTCCTATTGGCGTCTCTGCCATAATGAAAAGCCACTTACCCTAACAACCTCATCCCAGAGGTCAACATTAGAAACAAAGCCATTTAAGGTGGATTGGTGTAATTTTCGCCAAGTGTGAAAACATGGTCCATATTTGTCATGTATAATTGACCTAGCAGGAAAATACTAAAGCCACTGTGTGATTAGAGAAGCCAGACCGTGATGTCTGGGACAGGATGGTGAAATATTGATGCGCTGCACGGAGGGGTTCTATAAATAGAGCCATGCTGAGATAAACTCTTGATTAATCATCAAAAGGGCTTGATGATTCACCAGCCTCATGGAGTGTCCGATGACTGGGGAAATGATGCGGGGTGAATAAGACACACACACAGAAATCTAGCTTTTCTATACAACAGGTTCATCTTAAATAATGAAACAAAAGTTCACCGTTAAGCAATAGCGCGAATATCTATGAAACGTTCATTTGCTTTTGGTTTCATTCATTCAATCATTCATTTTTTGTTCCAATCATTCATTTTTTGTTCCATTCATTCGTTTTTTGTTTCATAGATGTTTGAAAAGTTTGATCATTTGCAGGATGAAAATTCAGTATTATATCTGAAAAATTCAATGTGTAAACAGTAACACCACGGGAATAGGGAAACCTAATTTCAAATTTGGAGAATAAATAATGTCTTTTCCCATAGGATGTGTGTTTACGAGGCCCCAATTATTTTTTCTTTTGAAACATACATATAGCATTATACCTTTTATTTACCCATATTCAATCCAACCATCTCCAGCATGTCTGTCAGAAAGGATCTGTTTTCTTGTACATGCATTTAGAATTTTGGCACACGTGTTTGCGTGGAGAGATTTATTTTGTTGAATGATTTTGATGCAGATTCTCAGTTTAGTCTGTACAGTATAATATTGTTTATAGATGTGAGTTCTGCTAGTCATTACATTTGTAATCCTTTTACTTTATCTTTATGTGTTTGTTAGAATATAGATACACAGATACTAAACTCAAGAGCTTGTCGGGTGACTGGCGACTATCAGATTTGATCCTGCTTTTTTCCATAGTAAATAACTTAAGTCTTCCATGAAGAAGCCTCAGATTTCTGTTCTAAGTGTTCCGAGTATGATGCAATGTGACCTGAGTATGAAAAGGAATATTTAGACATTGCATGTCTGTAAACACTGTAACACTAAACCCACTTCTTGGTAATGGTTTCAAGATGTTCACAACATGTTCATACTTTAATGTAGACTATGACCAAATAGGAAAACCTGTTGAATTCAAGATCTGCTGTCAAGTGTTTTTTTTTTGTTTTTTGTTTTTTGCATCAAAGGAGATCTGAAATAGCAGGAGAAAGCTATCCTCTCTGTTTTTCAGGTTGAAAGGATTGTAGAATTATGAAAGTAGACTTTGTTAGCTAACCATAGGTCACTTCAGGTTTAAAAAAAAAGATTTTTTTATTAAAGCTCCAAGCTCCATAGCCTTTTTTGACTATAGCAAAAATGAATAAATTCAAGAACTATCTGTTTGATATGACTGTTTTCACAATGTAAAGTGGGGTTGGCTCTGGAAGAAGGGTCTGATTTCATTGTTTACTGAGCGTCTTCAACGTAAGAAAGAATTGTGCAAGAAGAGACCGATCAGATACAGCTGGTTGGTGGCATGGCTTGGGTTAAAACTTTTTTTTTTACTAAGGTCTGCATCCTGTACAGCTACAGTTAGATACTTTTATTGATTCCGTGAAGGAAATTGCAGTGCAACAGCGAAACAGCAGTTAATCAACACAGCATGGTACAGCATACTACAAAGATGTGCATGTGCACCTAATATATTAAAAATTCAGGATGTACAAATGCTCAAAACAATTTAAAACACGCAAGACAACCAAATTTACCAATCTACTTAATGATTCCGGATCTGAAATTAATTATTTAATTTTTTACTAATTTTCGAAGAATTAATAAATGGAGCTGTTTAGGCATGATGTCAGTTTGTAGGTTGTTCCCATAGACTGTAAAAAAAGATGGACGACACCCCTTCGCTCTCTTCCATTGGTCAGAAGTGAAGCCGCCAGTATCCCGATATGGCGCTGACATACATGACATGCGCAGTAGTGAGCAGGAAATCCACGAAATCAAGGCCCCGCCCTCACTCTCGCAGAATCAATCGCAAGAACACGCTCCTGCACTTTTTAAAATTAATTTAGATATTAAATTTAAAGCTCCAATCTCCTCGGTCCTCCGAAGATCCCGAAAAAAAAGTATGTTGGTGCTTCAGTGACTACTTCGCTCAGAGAACCTGTCAATCACAGCTGTCAATCATGACATCACCACCACCACCGCATCAAATAACTAACTAAAAACAAACTTATTTTAAAAACAAACACTTGAAATTACATCAGTGTGATAAAAACTACTAGCCTGGGAAAACCCAGACAACTTCCGGCAAATTTAGATTTGCTCTGAAAGTTAGTCTGGCAAAGAGCTCATTCAAGCCCATTTCCAATCCGTCGAAATTGAGGCACCAATCAGAAACGTTGGGGCGGGCTTTACACGATGACGACAGCGCTGGGATTTTGAAGCAGATTTTGTAGCCTGCATTACAAAGATGGATGCCGCCGTCGAACATCACTCGTTCGATTTAGCTATCGTATTGTTAAAAACCGAGCAAGGAACAACACTCGGAGATGTTTCTGCCGCTCTGCATACGTCATCTCCTTCATCGCTCTGATTGGTTTTAGGTCTATCCGCGACGTCCGTTGGTGACGCCCCTCTGGAAATGATTTGTCTATGACGCTTTGCCAGACCATAACTCAGTTACAACTGAGAATGGTCTGGTTTTAACCAGGCTAAAAAACTACAGTAAATGACAGAAACCATATTTGGAAAAAACAATATTTGAAGTGTAATTTAATTGTTTAGTTGGTCTCACGTGCTGTTGAATAACATGGGGAGGCGGGGTTTTTGACCTATACTAGGACCGGCCACCGGGGGGTGATCGAGACGTTTTGGCTTCACTTTTCAGGGCTTGTGCGGCACGCTTGGTTGTTCCTAAAGTGTATCACCATGGGTTCTCTGGGGATTTAAAAAAAAAAAAAAATTCTATAATGGTTTTCGGTTTGAAAAGTACATTTTTCTTAATTTCCTCACTGTAGTGTTTTGTTTCTGAAGCTTTGCCCACATAAAAAGGCAGTAATTGCTCCAACAGTTGACTACAGTCAACAAGTCATTCATGAGATAAAGTTCCCTATTTAAGCAATTCTGTGATTACCCAGCTGTGGTTTGTGAAAAATGGCACTAAATAGGGTTTCTAATGGAACTGCCAAAATGGACTTTCTGCTTTTGCAGTAAGTATTAGAACAGATTTCAGGCTACCTTGCCACAAAGCCCATGACTAATGCACACCATGTTCAATTGAGATGAGAGCATGCGTTCTAGTGTCCAGTGAGTAACATCGGTGTGGTTGAGGTGAAATTACTCAAGTAATAGATATCTCTAAATAATTTTGCTAATTTTTTAGTTTTAATGTCTACAAATTGAGCTTCAAGTCTAACAGGCCCCTGCTGGTCAAATTTGTTGTACAGTATGTAAAATACATCCTTTCACATGCATTTTTGCTTAAAGGTGAAGACCCAACTTTATGTATATTTATGTAAGACCCACCTTTCCACTAAACATTTTATTGGACTGTCCTGCTTTCAATGCATGTAGAAGGCATTTTTATGAAGTAAACTCACTTTTGGACTTGAAAAGGTACCAGAAAAGGTTTTAGAACTTTTATCATATGTTAATGTTAAAAATCTTGTATAATATTAATTTCTGTATTTTTTTTCTGTTTGCTTGGTTTTTATTTTTATTGTATATATGTATCTCTTGTTTTGTTTTTTTGTAATTCAGTTTTTGCCAAGATAGCCACAGATGCTGACATGGCATTAAATAAAACGATACTGATACTTATCTGCATGTTGCATATACTGCATGTGTTTTTAAGCCTTGGCAGTTTAAATATTCAAGCGAAAGAGAACTCTAGTTTTGTACTCATGCTGTTTGAAAAGTTTTGTGCACACACCTGCGACGCGTGCCCAGCAAGTCACATCTCAGACAGCCCACGAGGACTGAACGGAGTTCTCTTTTGCATGTTGCATTTTGAATGGATAAATTCACACATAATTTTAAAAATGCCCATTTTGGCGAGTATCCTCGTAAACACAGTTGGTTATGTTTAAAGTGATCATAAACAGTCAAGAAATAACACGCATTTGTAACACTATATTTGATCCGTGCATTCACTCTTAAAGTGACAGCAGCCTAATATTCCTGCTGCTGTCTGTTTTTAATGTTAATCAAACAACAAAGGACAAAGAAAAAAAATCACTCACTGCCCTTGACTGAATAACTTTTGTAACTTTAAGGATTAATCTAGATTTAATTTATACAGTAAAGACTATGCAGTGTTATTTTACATTTAATTACATACTGATTATTGATCATTTCATTTCTGTTGCCTACCTGCAACCTAATATTAGACCTACCTGAAAATCCTGAAAAGCTCTCTTCATTTAAAAGAGAGTTGAAAAAGAGGGGAAAACTCCCAAAGTCCAACTGTAGAAAAAATATTTAGCGCTGAGCCGTGCAAATGGCAACCTTATACGTGTGTGTGTGCTGAGGATAGAATACAAATATGATCAATTTAACCCTTAGACCTATTCAGTTATATCAAATATACCAGGAATAGAAACAGGATTTATATGCTGTATTAAAATCAGACACAGATGCAAGTCAGGGTAGTGCTGTTGTTGGAAAGCAATTTGATTCTGTGATAGTGAGCTGTGCTTGATATCTCTGGATCTTTTATCCTGCAGTTGTTCAGTCGTCATTATTTCAGCCGATCTCTTCTTGGGCCTTTTGGCTGATGTGATTTTAAAACCAGGCCACATGACACTTCATCTGCTTATGTTGGTTTTCGCTACTACATTCATCATGGTCTGCCTTGTTATGCCAGTGCTTTCAAATTTACTGTGTTTTTTTTTCCATGGCAAGATTAATTCTCTGTTAGAAGAGAAAGCTAAGGTTGAAGTATAATCCTCTTCCATTTTTCAGTATAGTATTCAGTATTTTCTTCCAAGTTGCATTCAGATTTTCCTTTATTTTATTAGTTGATTTTGACATTATGCAATAATTTATTATTATTTAAAGGAATATTCCAGGCAAATAAACAAGTTAGCATAAAATATTCACATTATTTACTTTAATACACGTTCTTGATCTTATTCAAAAGTGCACATTATTGCAAAAAATAAATAAATAAATTGTATGCTTTGCCTCCTGAAATATTCATTGGGATATAGAATGCTTCTTTTTCAAGATTCAGAATTGGATTAAAAATGTACTTATTCCTTAATTTCTTATACTTATTGATAAAGTACAGTTGAAATTAGTACTAAACACTGTACTTCTGCCTTTTAATTCTTTTTCTTAGGGAAGCAGCACAATAGCGAATTTTCCCGTTTGATTGCCCAGGTCAGAGGTCGTCTGGAGTCCAAGAGAACACAGATCAAACAAGAAGAGGGGAAGTCAAAAGAAGAGACAGACTCCAAAGGTGCCATCTCAGTTTCTTTTCAGATTGTGTTCAAAGATGTTACTTAAGCCTCTTTTTTTTGTTGAGAATATGCTTGTTTGAACATTGATTAATCTTGACTGATTGATGATTTAATGATCAGCAAATTAATTAGAAAATATGACATTTGGTATGAGGTACTGGTTAAGGAATATTGCATATAATCACAATTTGAAAACTCGATTGATATTTAATTGGTATTTAATTTATAATTAAATTAATGTTGACACTGTGTTGGAAATGGTTGCTGCTACCATAGTGACCCAGGGAAATTTAACCTACTTTCAGAATTTTGTATTTATTTATTGGCCAAAATTATTCAGATGTCAATATCTTTGTTATAAAGAAAGTATGTGAACCTCTAGTATTATCAGGTAATTTAAATAAGTAATTGGAGTAGGCTGTTTAAATGAGACCAATATCAGATGTATTTATGAAGGCGTGAGTACACCTACACCATCAAGGAAGAATTGAGAATAGTGTACATGGCAGGATAAAGAGCAAGACAATATTGACCATCTAAAGGCTTCCAAAGACTACAAGGAGGCAGCAGATAACTGTTGGATAAATGTTTTGTGGACTGTAAATGGGTCTTTTTGGTTAAAATGAGAAGTGTTACATTTGGCAAAACTTGCATTCAATAAGGAGTTTTATCTCAGATGTGAAAGGTGGTGACCGTGTAATTAGTGGGTGCTTTGCAGTTTCTGGATCACAATGGCTTGCCATCATTGCTGGAACTATAAATTCTGCATTGTATCAAAAAAATTTACAGGAACATGTTAAGGCATCAGTCTGTGAACTGACACCGTAATCCCAACATCACTGAGAAGCAGTGTTGTATTGAGGAATGGACCAAAATTGATCCAATCTGATGTGCAGGACCTATCCAAAGTTTATGGAAGCATTTGGTTGCATTATTGCTGGTTCACACACTTTTTCCAGCAAAGACATTGAATCTTGGACCATTTTACTCTAATAACAAGCGAAAATATGCTACTTTTTTGTGTTATTTGTTTGATTAGACTATCTTTATCTATTTTTAGGACCTGAAATATGATGAAATGTATCCAGAAATAAAGAAAATGCATAAACATCTCAAATCTACAACCACTGTACTGATAGTGTTACTATGTACAGACCATTTCATTCACACACACAAACACTGTTTGAAACTTAAGTACTTTTGTGAGGCACCTTGACAATTGCAGTAAACAAGAGCCTGTAGACCCTATCGCCTACTCTGATGATAAGGTGCCAGCCTCATGCTGTTATCACCAAAACATTAATGGCTCTATAGATGGATTTCAGAGTCAATAAGCAGTTTGCAGTGTAGAAATATATGACTTGACAGTCTGGATTGGTTATCTCTTTATCAGTCAGTTCCAGCACAATAGGATTAGTTTCAATAGATTTTGGAATTGTCAGTTCTCTAGTAAAGACTGTGTGTAAAAATTGATTTCTGAGGTGTGTTGATTATTACAAAAACAATACCTTTTATATAATTTTCCAAAAATATCAAACTGTGTTTACCAAAAACACATTATAATTATATAGGGTGTGTATCAATACATCCACTGTCTTTTCTTTCTTTTTTATTTGTGGAAAGAAACACAGACCTTTGTTAGTGTGACTTTTGATGTGACTCAAATGACGAGTAACCAAGACCAATTTTTAATCACAATTGGCCCTTGATGAGGAATTTTGAACCCTGACTACATCTACTTGACAAATAATGATTAATAAAAGTAATAAAAAAACAAGCTTATGGTTGTCCCAATAAATTATATCAATGGGGAATATTTCACAAAGTTTTTACACATTATTATATTCTAGTGGTGTGTACATAACTGACATGTATTTTTTATTTATTTCTTCCATGTCTTTGCAACAGGTGCACACAACAGCATTCAGAACACCCCCCAGCCTCTGGTTTCTGCACTGCTGAAGGTAAAGAGTGAAGAGATGGAGGGGGTAATTGAGCTTCCATCAAGATCATCAAGCCCTACCATCAGTGAGGTGTCAGTCAGCAGGTACTTCTGTTCGAAAAGGAACCAATTCCTCCCTTGTATTTGGACTAATTGTATGTGGTTAATACTTGAAGGGATAGTTCACCAAAACATTTAATTCTGTCGTTTACTCACCCTCATGTTGTTTCAATCCTATATGGCTTACTTTCTCCTGCGGAACACAAAAGAAGATAGAATATATGTTGTAGAATGTTAGATACTAAAACATTTTGATCACCATTGTCTTCAATTGTATGAGGAAAAAATAACATCGAGACATTTCACAAAATATTTTTGTTTGTTCTTAAAAGATTTGTATTTTATTTTGGGTGACCTTAAGCACAAGGTATGTGAGGCCATGCTAAATTGCTGAGCTTTTTGTCTACCAATGTATTTTAGCCATGAATATTTTCAGAATGCAGCATGCCCTTGAAAAATAAATATGAGGACATTCAACAAACTTATTTAATGTGATCTAGTCAATATATGTCAAGTGAATTAATTACATGATGCTCTTAATCTAATTAGTCGCAATTTAATCATACATCAAATCTGACTGAGAAATAACCACCAAATATAATTTAAAGTCACTATTGTGTTAAATGAGAAAAGCAGCAAATAGACATTACAAAAAGTAGCTTTTGAAAGAAATATTTGATTTGATTCAACACATTTATTACGCAAACTTTAAGCTACAATGGCCATGTTTTTTTTTTTTTTTTTTTTTTTTTTTTTTTTTTTTTTTTTGGCAGAACCAACAGTTCTGCTCTGGCTTTATAGGTCATATTTACAATTGTATAACTTTGAAACAGCATACTGTGTTCAAGCAAATTATTGTGTAAATGAATGCACTTTGAAATCATGCATTTTCTAATTAGTTTTCATGTGGAGAGATTTTGTGTGGAAGATCTGTCAGCATAGACAGTCATTAATCTTAGCTTAATATTTATTCAGTTCAAGTCAGAGAAGCTTTTTTTTTAGTCAAGGTGCCGTCTTTAATTTTTCCTTTTTGTTATATTTAGAATCAGTTAGGTATACACCTAAATGTGGTCTTGATAACAAGTATGCATTTCATTTAGCCACAAAAATTGAATAGATCCTTGGACTTGCTTTGATTTGTCTTGGATTATGTGATGAAATGAATACGATTCGACCACAACCTGAGGGCAGTTCCTCCCTGCCTTTCTTAGTCGAGTCCACTTCAAATACGACATACGTCAACATCTCTAGTATTAAATATCACTGTTATTGGAATCCTGAGATTGAGAACACTTTCAGGTGTGGAAACTTTCTAAATCATTTCCAGTGCCCTTTCTATGCTCTGTTCCTGACTGTCTCGTACACATTTTCTCTCAGAGCAAATAAGCCAATTTCCTGCTGTTTTTAAAGCAATATTGACAGGTCTTTTGCTCTGTAATCATCATGTGAGCTGTTTAGGTCAAGGTGGGATGTTAACTTTGGCAGAAAAGAACCTGTCAGTCACTAAGGAAATGGATTCAGAGAATTATTATTTTTTTTTTGTCTCACAAGCTTTCACATACTTTGATATTTTTTGTATTAGCTTTGCTTTTTGAAAACGGCTTCTTTTATTGATTTTCACAACAAATACAAAAAGATCATTTAAACTCACAATAAAGATAGCCGAATAATGGGACTATGTCATCAATTACAAATACTTTAAGTATCAAATGCATTGAATATACAGTAGAGGAAATGATAAAGTATCGAACATAAGTATATCAGAGCTTCAGTGGCTGTTGTCCAGTTTTAAATTGGTCGTGGTGATGCATTTTGGAGCCAAGCTGTGGCAGTGGCACATTTCAGATCTAAAAGAAACAGGCTTTTTTAGAACACATCAGTCTGGCATTACTTTAAAAATGTTTTTTAGATGCTGTTAAGGCTTCCATTACCACTCTTTTCCAATTACATAGTTTCAAAAATCCATGATGACGTTATCAATGATGTACCATCATCATTGCTCCCAACTGGAGTTGTCACTACATTTTCGGTAGTTGATACAAAAACCAGTCATATTTAATTTATTCATTTTTTCATTATTTCATCTTGTTAATACTGTTAAAAATGATTGAACATTTATTAATGATCTGTATTAATGAATTCATAAACAGTGGCAACTCTGTTAGACAGTAGTCACATTAGGCTACAGATGTAACTAATGTAATTTGTGTGTCCCACTTTTTACATTTACTTACAAAACCGACTGTTTACTTGAATAACACACCTAGCTCCTTCAGTGTTTTCAATGTGCATTAAAGATGCATTTTGGACTGCATTGTCCTTTGTGGCACTGACTCAAAATGCTTTTTATACTTGTGATGTGAGCAGCTGCTGCACGTTGCAAAACAATGCCCTGGCCGTAATAGTAATTTTACAGTCATTGTATTTGGTGCACTATTATATTTTGGTGCAGTGCTGTAATTTGTTGCGGTGCCAATGTTAAAGTCTCCTGAGAGACTTTAGACTGGAATTCAGTTTTGTGGAAGATGTAGAATGTGTGATGAAGTTCAATCAGATGGGGTTGTTTCATTATCTGTGTGGTTTTGTTGACTGAAATGTAGTCGATGTGCTAATAACTTTTAACCAGATTTCATAAGAATATTCATGCCAGGTCATGCTAATCTTAAGATTGAAGTTTGTCATTGAGGGAATTACAAGAATGTAACCTTTGTAATAGAGTTTATGACTGAGCTTGAATAATCTTTGCCATTTTAAACTGAAAAATGAATACTCGCGTGTTTACTCTAAAGGGTCTCTCATTGTTTGACTGTGCATGTCACCTTTTGTAGGTCACACAGCATTTATTAAACTCATACTTGGAGATTAATGTAATCAGGTGGTGTGTGTGTGTGTGTGTGTGTGTGTGTTGTGCATAAGGCACTATAATTTGATGTATTTGTTTTATTAATTTGTAAAAGGCCTCCAGTAACACATGTTCATCATTGTGTTTTTAGGAAGTGGGTTGATTGTTTTACCAAGGTGATCATGAATGATAATGAGAAAAGCATTTTCATTTTCCTGTTTTTAGTTGGCTTGCCAGATGAATTATGGATATTTAATGTAATGTATGATCTTTCACATCTTGCTGTTTTTCACATCAGATTTAGTTGATTTTTGAGAATATGTAGCTTTGGCACATTCTTACATCTGAATGTTTGATTTGTTGTCAAAAGAGTCAAAGGTTAAGGTACATTTTAGAGATGCATCAATTCACCAACGTTGGCAGCTCCACTTGTCACAAATTCTATCTATTACAGGCTCACAACCGCAGCTCCTACTGGAGTCATTGGATTGATGGTGTTCAGCTTATGCACTCTGGGTAATTAACCCTCTGGGGACCAGAAACGCGCCGGCGCGTTTTGCTCGTTTTTTTTCACATAGCAGAAAAATAGACTTAAAGTACTACCATCATTTCTGTTCATATAGAGTTAAGAAATATGAAAAAATAATCTGGTAAATGTCTACTTTTTTATGTGCCCACATACAATCGAAATAAAATATTGTGCTTAAAAATAAAGAAAATAAACAGGGTGTGCGTTCTGCCTCTCGGTCACCGTGAACTTTTTTTCTGGAGCACGTCTCTAATCTTCAACACAACTCAGCTAATACTATTCACCCAGCCATAAGCAATATATCTTTTAAATCATTTGAGTTTGTACTTTTAAATGATCCGATTCAAAACTAAAATTAATATTCTCCGTTTATGTCATCTATATAAAAAGAGAGACGTGTCAGCCCGTCTCATTATCGTTCTCGAGCTGATTATCTCTGGTAATGTGACACGCCCACGGAGAGCACGCGCTATTCAAACGCAAATATGTGAAGCAACACATTGAGACGCGTTAACGCCCATAAACTCTGAAAACACACATTATTTTTTAGTCAGATTAATCTACTGTCGTCTTGCGCGGCTATATGAGGAACAATCCTGGGACATTTACCACTGGGTTTATTTTCACTTCGAGGATGAACAGATTCAGCTGAGAAGTAAGTGTTTTTTGCAAGTGCTTTGTTCTAATCGCGATATAGAATAACGTAGTGTCTGTAAACGGAAAAATAGCATACTGTTTAAAAATGTGAATCATGTTTGTGTGTGTGTGTGTGAATGAATGAATGAATGAACGCACAGATACGCACTGTTACAGACTAAATAACAGACAACATTTCGTTGACTCGTTTTGGATAAAGTTTTTACTCTAAAATAGACATCAAATAAGCTTTTTTTAGGAGTTTCTGCTCATATGTTAAATATATAGTATGTTTTGTCAATAAACTTATCAACTAAGATGTTATAGTGTTTGTTCAAGCTATATCAAAATAATGAATCCTCAACTTTGAAATATGTATGATCAAACTAAGACATTTATGGAGAAAGACAATTTTCTTTTCAAGATGTTTCCAACTCTAACTTTGAACTTTGAACTGAAATAAAACCATGTCTATATGGTGAACGGTGTGTGATAGAAGTGTCCAGACGTATGCACCCTGTATTTTCCTTATATAAATCCAAACGATCTAAAAGCCATTCTTTTTTAAATCTCCTCATTCTTTGTGCAAGGCTCCTGTAATGATAGGGCCTGATAGCACCTAATAGGGCCATTATGGGGAGGGTCTTTGTCTTTCTCAGGTGTGGAATGCCACACATATTAATGAGAGATCACGCCTCCTGCATAAAGCTTTCTCAAACAAAACACGTCATTAAAAATGTTAAAGACTTTATTGACTTATCTGAATGAGTAGTCAGGATGATTCTCACATAGTTTTGGAGCAAATATTCTAGGCTATGTGATACCATTTTCAAAAGTCTTGTGAAGAAATAATCAATATGTGTTTTGTGGTCTTATTTCAGCAACTTTCATTTTTATTTTTTTCAATAACCACGCATAAACATTATTCTATTAAAAATACAAACATGTACATACATGTTGCTCAGATATCATGGTAGCCAAGTTTGTGCTATATAGAGTGAATTTACACCTTTGCCATTAACATGTTTATAAATAACTGAAAAAAGCACAAATGTCAGTGCATGTCAAAACATCCCAAGGGCCCCAAAAACACTCTGGTCCCCAGAGGGTTAACTGATACTAGAATCCTATTCGCATGGATGGTTCCTGTATTCTAGGGATTAGTTTGTATATGCTTATTAAAATATTGCAGACCATGAACTGCATTTTTTTCTTGAATACACTGTCCTTTTCATTAACACTTTGCATCCTGACATGTTGAGCTCATGCTGTAAAAATGCTTAAAGGTGTATTCTGGGGCAAGTCCTCTGTTTTGTACTACATTTCAACTTGTCTCTCAGTTTGTAAAAGCACATAGTTCTTACAATTGAAGTCTTTGTCAGCCTTTTTTTTTTTTTTTTTTTTTTTTGATTGTTGTTAAAGTCTGAAATTCCAGCTTTATACAATGAGTTGATCTGCTTTGTGACGTTTATTCACCCTGAAGTACTGCATTTGAGTGCTTTTGTTGAAATGTGACATTGAGGTGATTCATAGGTGTAGAACCAATCAAAATTCTGCTGGTAGAAATAGGTTTTGAAGTTCTTCTCCTTTGAAGTTTCAGTGGTACCATGACCTCTGAATGTGATTCAGAAGGAAAATGCCACTTTACCGGTTTTGTGGTCTTTAGGTAATATGAAGAAGTATGTGGCTGCATGTGTGTAAAATTGACAAAAACATTTTTTTTTTATTCTATTATTAGCATATACATTTGAGTGGAAAGTAAAAAAATTAATTTGTTCATTTCATCTGGCCCCTTTTTTGCTTTAGTAACCTGGAAGCAAGGAAATATGACTTTTTGTATTAAGGGGTTTGTATTTGATCAGTAGAAATATAGAAAGTATTTGTCCTGTATTGAAAGTGTCTGTCCTGTATGTTTATTAAATTGTACATTTGGTGAACATCAATCTTAGCTCTTCGGGGTCTACTTGATCCCTGAATCTAAAACAAACTTTGGTTTAAACTGTGACAGAATGTATTACATCCCATTCTTATTCAGGGCAGAAACAGATGTGTGTGTTTGCCTTGTTGTGTTTTTGTAAATGCCTTTGATGCATGTGGCTCCCTCTCTTTTTCTTAGTTCTCTCTTCCACTAAATCATCTCGGTCCTTCTGTTTGACTAAATTCAACTAATTTCCGACCTTGAATGTTTACAGCTTAAAGCTGCGTTAGGCTGCACTTAAACCATCATATACACTACCAATTAAAAGTTTAAATTAAAACACACCTACTCGTTTTTTAGTATTTTTTTATTAATTTTATTTTTAAAGATGTTCATATGTAGGCACAAATTGTGTCTACAACTGATTTTAAGCATTTAAGAATACAACTTTTAAAAATGATAAAGTCAAATGTGTCAGAACTTTGGTGAACTTTAACCTCAAAGTTTGAACTTTAATGCTTGCCTACCTCCTCTTCCTACTTGTATAAGAATAAAAGTAAATGGAGTTATTCAGCATACTATTATTATATAGTTAGCTTTTGATTATTAATACTTTCAGTTCCTGGTATGCTTTTGTATTTTTTTTTATATCATTAAAATTAAAGTCAGGGATGACTGGGGACTTTTTATAATAATGCTTTTTTTCTTTCTCTCATTTCCCACTTCCTCCTTTGCAACCAATTCCCCCCATGTCACCGCTCTCCTCTTTCCATCACTGCCTCCAGCTTCACAATTTCCGCTCTTACTACATGACAGATTACTGGTTTGTGTCCCCCATGCTTTTCATCAATAGAGACCACTCCTGTAATCATTTCTCAAGCAGAGTTGGACCAAAGCACCAATGTGCCAGAGACAGGGCCTTGTGTCTTGACTTAAGTTATCATCACTGTCTCACAATTATGCCCATGCCTGCAGAATCGCAATATTTTTGAGTGAGGAGCATGTGCCTTCAGAAGACACCTCATTGTGTCAACTGTCTATACCTTGTCAAGACGTTGATTTTGACAGCATCCTCAATCGCTGTGCAGATATCATGTAACATCATGCTTGTGTCTAAGAACTGTTTTTGGCCTGTTACTTTCTATAGATAACTTTTTGTATGCAAGTGGGGCTATGTAGAATAATAAAATATGGCCATTTTCCGGTCTGAGTCAAAATGCAATTTTTTTTTTTGCCATATTATGAATGTAGATATATCCCAGTTGAGGGGAACCAGAGATTGTATTGATTTATTCCTAATTGGTTTCTCCGATTTCCTACAACATCTACAATACAGTAAAACCTCTGAGGTTTTAGAGTAGAATACCATTAAAACAAACATATTATAAACACATTATGCATTGGAAAGCTTTTTAACATAAACTCAAAAATGTTTCACACCGAGTTTATATTAATGTATTTGACAGTGCAAGTCATTTATTATATAGTTTATGGAATTCCCCCAACCCACAATGTTTTGTAATAGACCTGGTTAGACACTCGTACTGATAAACAGGCCCATGCTGAATCTTTACAGATTTTGTTTATATTATATATGAAATATTAACAGTTTTTTTCTTCTGCCTTTTATTGCAGCTCCATCTCAGATATTTTCTGTTGAAGACATGGGATCTGCTACTCTAGTAAGTAGCTCTTTACATACAACAAAATGACATGTGAAAATGACATTTCACACTTCACATACACAAATACAAATAGTTAAATCAAAATGTGTGCACATCTTAAACAATTATTTTGCTTTGTTTCTTATTGTGCACGATTCATTATAACATGTTATCTCCCAATATTTCCATGAATTCTTCTTCATCATATAAGTTGTAATGTAAAATATCTGACTTTTGTTTTAAAGTCATCAAAAGTTACAGTGAAACGCTTTATAATGTTACAAAATATTTTTGTTTTTATTAAATGCTGTTTTTTTTTCTTTCTATTCATTAAAGAATCCTGGGAAAGAATTAAGGAGCGCAACTATTTTCAACATTGATGATAATAAGAAAAGTTTCTTGAGCAGCAAATCAGCATATTATCATGTGACACTGAAGACTGGAGTAATGGCTGTTGAAAGTTCAGCCTTGCCGTCACATGAATAAGTTACATTTTAAAATATATATAAAAAAAATTTTTTTGTAATATTTCACAATACAACTGTTTATACTGTAATTTTACTGTCAAATAAATGCAGCGTTGATAAACATAAGAGACTTCTTTCAAAAACATAGAAATCATACCAACCCCAAACTTTTGTTAATGATGGACAATTTCAAATGTTTCATTTTCTTGTTGAATGTTCTACAGTGACTAGTCTCAGACACTTAATTTCAGTAATGCACTGCTGCTTTTCCCATGTCAATTTTTTGCTACTTTCAGCAATAAACATGCGGTCTATTCTTTGAAAGGATGTTGTCCTGCAAAAGTCCCTGAATCCGCGGTCATCTAATGAAGACCTAGATTCTAGCTAGTTTTTGTTGGCTTGGGTTGTATCTCTCTAGTTCCAGCACATCTGGAGTGTGTAAGTTCTTTCAGCGAGGGATTGCTCTTCTTTGAGTACTGCCCCCCACTATGAGCCACTCACTGGGGGATAAGAGTTCCAGGCAGTAGCTGCTCAGTTCTGTCTAGAGACAACACACACACCCACCCATTACCCATAAGCCTGCCTTGAGGATCCACCTCAAGACTTTTTATAAATGTGCTATGGAAAATTGTATTTGTGGGATAGTGTTATGTCAGACATGATATTAAGGCTAGCTGGCGTGCCAGGACGTCTGTTGTCTTGACGAGATTAAAAAAAAAAGTATCTGTTGCGTTTCACTGTTTACAGAAATTCTTCAGGCTCTAAATATTGAAGCCAGTGCCCTTGGATTTAAAGAATCTCTATCAGCATTAATCCATGAAGATGTCATTTGATGGAATGTCAATAAATCAAAGTTTGTTCTTAAATACAGTTGTCTTATGACTATCATTAACAAAGGCTTAGCAGACATTTGTGCTGGCACTAAAACACCATCTGACCACATTCATTGGTTATGGTGAGAGATGCTGTCAGAACTTAATGTGAATAAAATGGAGTATATTTTGCAGGCAAACTTTCTCTTTAGAATCCATGTATACATAATGGGTAAGGTTGTTGTTTTTTGTGTGTGCACATAACAGAAGTTTTGGCCAGAGCTGATAAGATGGTGATATTGCACTTTTTACAGCTTTTGTATGTTCTTGGATAGTGGAGATCACTGATACTGGTAGTGCAGCTCATCAACATGCATGTCCGACCCACTTGCTTACAATAGCCCAACCACATTTAGCCACGTAAAATGCTTGACATAAGCAATATCAGAAATGGTGCATGATTAATGTTCCAGATTTTTTTTTTCAGAAACTTTTCTGTCATCTTACTAATGAAGCGAATTCTCACCACTCTGTCATCTAAGGTAGACCAGGGCTGAATCCCAATTTACATACTTCTACTAAGTACTGAGATTTGGGACATTGTAATCCTAATTAGTAGTTGACCTAAATAGATCTGTAAATATTGAAGGCAGTTATCCAGACAGTATGGTTTATTTTACATGCTATTCACTAAAAGTCTTAAGGTAGATTTTGAAACTGATACAAGAGGGAATGTCAAAATGGCTGATTTATTGGCTATTATATCAATATGTAACTCGATGATCCTCAGTCACAATTTATAAATTATAACTTGTTGCATATTGTCGTTACAAGGGCCTAATTTTCTTCAATCAGAATTTAAGAATCTAGCTTGAACTTTGAAGCTAAGATGAAAGATTTGTGCATTCAATTCTCAGCTGTTTCAATTTTCTCTCAGAAGTGAAATGTTATCTCATAGCTGTTTCTTACAGCCTGTTCCCAAACACATGAATGGTGAAAGATGTTATGTGTTTCCAGAATAGATCATCCTTTTAACGCCCTCGTCATTGTTTATGAAAACGCAAAAAATCCCTCTAATCAAACTCTGTTTGTTTAAACCTTCATCAAGACGTACGGCTGCATTTGTGTCCCAGGCGATGTCATTCGTTCTCCTTTTGAACTGGCTGTTTTGGGAGCCGTAAGCAAGCGCTCAGTGTCACTCACTGTTTCTCGAGCGGTTTGTGTGATTCATGAACCAGGAGACTGAAAGGACTGATTTGTTTGTTTTTCTCATTAAGCATATGGATCAAATATTTCTTATGAATAATTTTTTTTTGTCTATGGCTCTCAGAAGGCTTATCTGCAGGCCCAGCTCCTGCTTAATTGATATACAATAAATCTCTGTGCAAAGGCATAAAGAAGGGAGGAAGCTGGTTTATTTGAGTAGCATCAAATCCCACACACATTCTGCTCCCGGCATACAACTGAGCCAATTTCCATAGCTCAGGGGGTCTCAAGGAGTCGGACCCCCCTTGGTGGTGAGAGGGATTGAAGCCGAAACCTATTACATATTGTATAAAATTGAGAGTTGCATTTTTCAGCCTGGCCTTTAAAGTATCCATTTAGTTGTACCATATTACTGTATAAACATATACTACCTTTCAAAGGATTGTGGACAATTTTTTAAAGATTTTTTTCTTCTCTTACTTAACAGGGATGCATTAAATTGATCAAAAGTTACAGTTAAGGCTTTTACATTATTACAACCGTTTTCAATTGTGACAATAACATTTTTTTTTCTTTCACCAAATCATCATATTAGAATGATTTCTGAAAGATCATGTGAGGATGAAAGCTGGAGTGATGGCCGCTGGAAATTGCCATCACATTGCCAGCTTTGCCATCACAGGAATAAATTACAATTTAAAATGTATTAAAATAGAAAACAGTTATTTTAAATGTGAATAATATTTCACAAAATTACAGGTTTACTGTAAAAATCTTACTGACCCCAATAACTTTATTATAACTTTGGTTGCGTTCAGTCAGCAGTCTTTAAGTGTGTACAGTTCAGTCTTGAAATGTTTTTAGCTAGTTGTTAAGTGTGTCCCCAGCTAAAGCTTTAGTTGAAATTAACCTATTATGTTTTTCTTTAAAAACATTTCCACGTAATTTAGCTCTCCTGGAGTACTTGCATGGACTGTTGGAGACCCCTGTCATAACTCGAATTCAATTTTCTTTAAAGTTTGTTTAATCTAAGACAAGTGCCACAGTTTTTTTCATTTGACTTTTGAGTGAAAACATTTAATGCCGCCTCTTCATGTGAAAGTGTCTCCATATGGACAGCTGTGGGGTGTTTAAAGGGCTCTCTCTCTTTCACAATCACACACTATTTCTTATAAACTTGTCTGCATCTCAGGATATAACAAGCTTGTTCAACATGCAACCTTGGCTTGTACCATCACTTTTTTGCCATCATTCACTTACAGAAAACAATGTTTAACTTTGTGGACACATGCAACATTCACCCTCATTTATTTATTTGCATCATATGGACTGTTTCTGTCCTTTACTGAATAACACTTCCCAGAAAAGCAACGGCTGAGATGTTTACGTATGCTCATCGTCCAAACTTGCAGTGCCCTTTTGACAGTAAAGGTCCTTGACACGCATTGGCTTGTGTTCAAGCTATGAAGCCACCTTAAAGCTCCTCCATTTCAGATGAGGCGAATCAATTAGTTCCGTTTGCTAAGAGCTGATCTGGAAGATATTAGGATCATTGGATGTTTGGATAAGTCGTTGCAAATGTCATGCTAGTAATCCAGAATCATAAACCAGAACCTACGAAGAAATCATTGCATTTTTCTCATTCTTTGCTGGTTTGTTAAGCTTATCCTGAGGGTTGCCTTTTGGCATCTATAGCTTGAGTATATTGAAAACATCTGCTTTAATCCTCTCAGCCCCTTACAAAATCCCTTGGTTGTGAGATGTTTGATGCATCTGTCATTAAGCACTGGATCTTTTTACCAGCTTCAATTCAGTCTGTAGTCATCATCTCTTGATGATTGCTTCACCTTTGGACCTATTCAAATTTATCATTCAGATTTTGAGTACATTGAGTAGTAGGGGTACTGGATCGCAAAGGGCCGCAAGCCGAAATTCGGGTTCAAATTCAGGGCGCCCTTTTAAATCTTTAAAATCCAGGATGCATTTGTTATCGTCTAAGGCAGGGCTTCCGTCATCTTAAGGCCAATGACACCTTGATGTCATAATTAATTTGTGTGTTATTTACGTACTTTGTTTACATGAAACTAATTGCCATTAAAATAAATGATATATATTTATAACAACCATTAAAATTATATACAGATTTATATACTTGTACAGTTTAATTTTATTGTGATTTTAATGTGGGAGGACACATTTAGCTGAACTTCGCTTTTGGTTAAATTGAAAATTTTTAGTTAATTCAAATGAACAAATGGATGGCCCTCTGCAGTATCGCTGCAGACCCACTTTTGGATTTCACTCAATTTCACAAGTGCCCCTCAAAAATCCTTTGTTCTGTTCTAGGATGAAAAAAAGAAAGAACATCAATGTTTCTGAATTTTCAAAGAATTTATTATCTAAGAAGATCTGGTTTTGTGGAAAAGAATAGGATATTGTACAAGACATGATCTTAACCAGAATGGACAAAGAGAAATTGGCATAGAAACTTGATTTACAATAACTGAGACACTGTACATACTGACTTGAAAGCGAATCCAGACCAGTCCTTCTAAATGATAAAAGCATGTCCTTGAGAAGCCGTGGAATTACTCGTCCTTAGAAATAGTGGTCACACTGTGAAATTGGACTTCATCCATGATTTTGTTTGTGAAAAGGCAGACTCAGAAGGAGCTTTCTGACTATTTGGCCTTACAGCAACTGCAGTCAGTGATGTACAGGATCCAAAACACTTGCCCAGCCAATCAATGCATGTGAACTAAAACATTCTTGGGAGTTTTTTTTTTCTACTTTGGTAACAGGCATGAGCTTTAATGAACGCAGTCATCACCACGGTTTGTGCAAAAATGGAAAATGTAATGATATTAACTTGTCTCCCGGCCATGCTGTAGGTCTAAAATGATGTTACTTCATGAGTATCACAATTTTAGGGAATGATATGCTTTTTTAATTTGAACTGGATTGCGTGCAAATGGATTATAATGCTAATTTATTTAGACATCTTATTGAACTGCAAACAGCTTACTCTGTGTTCATTTCCTTATAGCAGAATCATGATTTTAGCACCCTATGCAAAAAGCAGTCAGGCAGATGAGAGGAATTGGAGAGACAGAAGTCCCATCTGGCTAATTTTGAAAGAACTACAAAAAAAGTTGTACTGTGGTGTGCATTACGGGGGGCACTGAACACAAATTGAAGATAAACTGGCTAAATTAACAAGGGGCTTAGTGAATGATTGTCTTAGTGTGAGCTCTAGAGAGGAAATGGCTTCAGTTGCAGGTTTCTATTGCAGTTTTTTCTTTCTCTCTAGGCTCTGCCATCTCTGTGGACACCATGCTGCTGCTCTAATGCTTTTAGTTATTTAATCATCATTAGTCTTTGAATTGTATTTTCGCCCTACATGTATATTTAAAAAATGAAATTAAAAACGCCACCATGGAGATAAAATGGATGCAATTTGAGTAATGTCGTGACATGCAACTGAACGCGTAAAGGGGATTTTTTACAGTCTGCAATAATGATTATGCAATAAACTTCTTTTCAGTAGGGAGATCTGTACCTCAGCTGTTTTGTAACACTAGTTTTTGTTCAGTTATCTCTTTTTGCTCAGTTTAACCTGTGCTAGTGCCAAACGAGCCCATTTCAACCATGTGAATTTCTCTCTCTAGACACGGTGAGCAAGTTCTCCTCTTCTGAAGTCCAGAGCAGCCGATTACAATGTGAGGTCTCCATTCCGGTAGGGAACGCGCTTGAAGACCCAGTGACGAAACATCCCGAGTATTAGTTTCTATTTTTTATTTTTTTTGGACTGAATGTGTGGTCTAAATATCTGAACTGAATGAATTCCA